TCCCCTTGGCACTGGGGCCACTCCTGGATTGCACAGCCCAGCACTCCCTGCCTTTCAGTGCTTAGGAGCACCTGGCTGTGCCCATCCCACGGCATCCCAGGGCATTAAGGGGATTTAGGGGATTTGTGGGAGGCTGTGACACTGCAGGCTTGGCTCTGCCATCAGAGGTCAGCATGAATCAGCAATGGAGCTCCAAGGACAGCCCAGCCTCGGGAAAAAGGATGTAGGTGTTCAATCCTGTTTGCTTTTGGGGCTGGGAGAAAGGGAGAAGCCCAGTGCTGGTGGTCTTGGCCCAAATATTTCAAGGAGGGCTAAAAGAGGCTGGTCCATGGGGCAGTGAGGCAGGGAAATAGCACAGCTCAGTCCTTTCATCCTTCTGTTCTGTGACCCTGGAGAAGCCAGAGCTGGAGATGATTCTCTCACCTCACTGCTGCTCCCTCCATTCCTTGCCAGAGGTGGCTCCCCAGGAATGTGTTATTTCCCTCTAGTGGGGGAAAATCCCCAGGAAAGGGTTCTGTGGTGTGTATTTTAGCCCCTAACAGGCAGAGCAGGACTCAGATCCATGACTGACCCACAGCTGCTCTCCCCAGGGCGCCTGAACGTGAAGAACGAGGAGATCGATGAGATGATAAAGGAGGCACCGGGCCCCATCAACTTCACCGTGTTCCTCACCATGTTTGGGGAGAAGCTCAAGGGTGAGAGGGCACCTGGGCAGCTGGGGGTGCTCACTGGTGCCCAGTGGCATTTCTATACCCCAAAATTCCTGATTTACAATACCAACCACCCCTAGGTCCAGAGATCCAGATCTTATCCCACGACTCCCCAAACTGTTGTGGGGTGTGAGATGGTCTCTGTGCCTCAGTTTCCCCAGCCATTTACAAACCCAAATGGCTGTGCTGCTGCTGCTGCTGTCCCATGGGAAGAGGGGACAGCTCTTGCAGCACCTCTGAGCCTGCTGACAGCAGCAGTGCCAACAGTGGCCCCCCTGCCTACAGCCAGACTCTGACCCACCACCCCATCAGGCTGCACCCTGAATCATGTACTTAACCCAAGGAATGCAGATCTCCAAGAGGCTGCAGGGCCCCACGGGCTGTGCCTGGAGCTGCAGGGCCCCAAGGGCTGTGCCTGGAGCTCTATAAATACCCCCAAGATTAGATAAACGCTGGATGCCGGAGCGGTGGCGACAGCGCCTGCTCTGTGCTCACACCACCACCCTACGGCTGCTCCTCCACATGCCACCAACTCCACTCAAGTGTCCAGCATTCCTGCAGGGGCCCCACTTTCCAGCCTGCCCCCCATTTTGCCCCCGAGGCTGGGAGAAGCAGGAGGTTTCTGTTGGTTTCCTCCTTTACTATTTCCAATGGCCGTGGCTTTGTCACCCGCAGGTGCCGACCCAGAGGAGACAATCCTGAATGCATTCAAGGTGTTTGATCCAGAGGGAAAAGGCCTGAAATCTGCCTAGTGAGTGCAGCAGGGGTTCCTGGGGCAGGGAGTGATGGGGGTGTCCCCGTGAGGACCTGCCCAGTGCTCACCATGATCTCTTGTTTGCAGCATCAAAGAAATGCTGATGACGCAGGGGGAGAGGTTTTCCCAGGAAGAGGTATGATCTCCTTCCCAACAGACCCCAGCCCTCCTCCCAGCCCTCCCATGCCACCTTTTGTCACTGCTTTTCCCTGGCAGATCGATCAGATGTTCGCTGCCTTCCCTCCGGACATGTCTGGCAACCTGGACTACAAGAACCTGGTTCATGTCATCACTCATGGTGAAGAGAAGGACTAGCCCAGGCCCAGGGCTGGGCCTGGCACTGCAAGATCACCTCTGCCTAGGTCACACAGGGGTTCCCTTTCCTCTTCCCCTGGAGAGGCATGCCTGGGAATTTGGCACAGGAATGGCATTCACATTAAAAAGCCTTTTGGCAAGAGGAAACCCAGCTGCTGGTGTGAGCAGTGCTTGGGCTTGTGTGGTGTGGGAGCCCTCAGACCCTTCCAGACCGTGCTGGCCTCAGCACCCCAGACCTACTGCACGTCCCTCTCATGTGTCCTCGAGTCCCTTTGCCTCCCACTCCCACACCCAGCCCCAAACCAGTCTGTTCCATACTGGGCTGTGCCCATCCCACCTGGTCCCAGGGCCAGCACTGAGCTCAGATTTCCTTTAGGCAGCAGAGAGCTGTCAGATTCCGTCAGCTTAGCAGGGAGCACCCCAAGAGGACACTCATCCCTGCACCCCACCTGCCAGGCCCTGCAGGATTGGCACCATGGTCCCCATCTCTGGCTGTGGGGAGTGCTCTGGGTTGTGTGACAGGGATGTCACCCTCTGCTGGAGCAGCTGATCCCACCCTGGCTGCAGGTGCTGCCAGCAGTGAGTGAAGCCATGCCAAGACATCACCTGGTGAGGTTCTGAGGCCTGTGAAAGGTGTTGGGCTCCTTCCAGAGAAGGAAGATGGAATTATGTGCAGCATGCAGAAGCTCAAGAATGAAACATCTTCTTTAATTCCCTGCTGGGGTCTTGGACCCTGATGGGCTCCCTGATGCACCGGGTGATGTGAACTTCCTCTTCTTCTTGCCCGTGCTGGGGGGCCTGCTCACCTCCTCCTGCTGCCTCTGGATGACGAGCTCCCGCAGCTCTTCCCGGCCCAGCGGCTCTTCCGCTGCCCAAGGGAACAGATATCCCATAAAACACACGGTTACAGTTCTCACACCCCTCACACACACTGTTACAGGCCTTACACCCCTCACACACACTGTTACAGGCCTCACACCCCTCATACACACTTTGACAGGCCTCACACCCCTCATCCACATTGTTCCAGGCCTCACACCCCTCTTACACACTGTTACAGGCCTCACACCCCTCATACACACTTTCACAGGCCTCACACCCCTCATACACACTTTGACAGGCCTCACACCCCCAGTGGGGCAGGACAGGCTGGAGGGGATGCATTGGGAAGGACATGGGGCAGCAGGGTTGGGCCAGGCAGCCATGGGGGATTGGGAAGGGCTTCTGCCCAGCCATGGCCTCTCTGTCTCCCCCATCCCTGCTCACCGGTTCTGGGGTCAGCGCTCTCCTCCAGGTCTGGGGGGGGTGGGCAGAGCTTGGTCCTGTCCATGGCCCAGAGGTGGTTGGAGGCTTCCCGGAGGGGGCTGACGAAGCCCTGGGCACGCTGGGAGCGGTCCAGGGAGGTGTAGCGCAGCAGGGACTCCCTCATCAGAAACTCCTTGACCTTGTTCTCCACGGGGCCTGGGGAGGAAGGAGCCATATTGTCCCACAGTGTCCCTGCAGCAAGACCCTGCCCAAAGCAGCCCTGGACATCTGCAGAGCAGGGGATCCACTGACTTCCCTCAGGGCAGCCCGACTCCCTGGCTGGGTCATGGAATCATAAAATCACAGAGTGGTTAATGTTGGAACAGACCTCCAAAACCATCAAGTCCAACTTTGTACTGAATATCCCCTGCCTGTTAAAGCATACCACAAAGTGCCACATACTCTTTATTTTTGGAGCACTTCAGGGGTGGTGACTCTACCACTTCCCTGGGAAGCCTGTTCCAACCCTTGACCACTACTGTGAAGAAATTTTTCCTAATATCCAACCTGAACCTCCCCTAGTCCAATTCCCCTTGCCCTCTTGCTGGCTGCCTGGGAGGAAAGGCTGACCCCCATTGCACTTCAGCACCCAGACCCACAGTGAGGCTTTGGGGATCCACTGGGATGTTAAAAATCCAAATTACCTCCTAAATTTGGCACTGCAAATTCACTTTAGGGCACACGTGACTGATGGGACAGGGGAAAACAAAAGCTCAATTTAAACACAGTGTAAGCAGGTGGTGGACAGGACTTCCCAGGGTGGAGGCACAAGAAGATGGGCAGCCCTGACCTACCAAAAACTGGCACCAAGCTGTCCCCAAGAGGCTTCACTATCTTTGTAGTGTCACAGTCCATTTCCGTCAAGAGGGTCTCAATGCGAGATTGGATCTGTCCCAGGAGTTGGCTGCTCTCCCTGTATTTGTTCTCGTACTTGTTGGCTTCCTTGGTGGTCTCTGCTATTTTTGCCTACCAGCAAAAGTTTTTGTGTCACAAAGGTGTCACACCAGCCCCTCGCTGACCCCACCACCCCAGCGCTGCCCAGTTCCAGTCTGGAGACAGAATCACAGGATGCCAGGATGGGCCAGGTTGGAAGGGACCACAATGGGTGGTCTGGTCCAACCTCTCCTTGAGCAGGGTCATCCCAGAGCACAGGGCACAGCATTGTGTCGAGAGGGTTCTTGAAGGGTTCCAGAGTGCTTCCCCAGCTGCCCATGCTGGCCCAGGGCTGGCAGGAGCCCCACAGCCACCCTCTCACCCTGCAAAACCTTCCCACACCTCTCCAGCCCCTGGCCAGAGCAGCATTTACAGGACCAGACTCCCTGGGACAAGTGCTGGCACAGACAGGGATGCGCTGGTCTTCCAGAGGGAATCCACGGCCACCATACCTTCAGCTCCTGCAGGACCTGAGTCTGGTTTGTCTCTGCCTGTTCCCTCTCCGTTGTCATGGCCTCCATATCATCCTGTGGGAGGGGAACAGCAGCACATGGGGTGGAACTCTACCTGACCCAGCAGATGGAGGCTGGGGACAGCCCAGGGAGCAGGGAAATGCAGAACTCCCGGGAAATGCTGCCAGCTCCCCGGGACCCTGCAGTGTTTGTGCTGGGTACACGGTGGCAGCATTGAGACACGTTCAGCTCCCAGAACCCAGCGGAATTTCGGCTTTGGCTGCTGCTTTGCATCCCCCTCATCCTCCCCGTGTGGCTGGATGCGGGCAGTGGTGAAGGACACTCGGGAGAGGACAAACCCACCCTGGCCCAAAATCACGGCCTGGAAAGGGGAGGCACGGAGAGGCAGGAACAGACCTGGACGGCCTCGATCCTCTGCCTGAGACTCTCATTCCTGACGTTCAGCCTAATGGCAAAGTTAAAGAGGATGAAGAATCTCCTGTCCTTCTCAAGGAAGTCCTCCAAGAAATCATCGATGTTTCCATCCGACAGCTCCAGCAGACGCTTGTAGGCCACCTCATAGCTCTCCTTTTGGCTCGCTTTGGCCCTCTCAGCTGCCTCAAAGGCTGAGAAAGAGACAGAGAGCCATGGTTGCCCTTTGCAGAGCCCTCCCTGCAGTGCTGTGGGGTTTGGTGCAGGGCTGGGGCAGGAGGGAGCAGTGTGGAGGGGCAGAGGGTCCCTCTCCCGCCAGGAAACTGAGCAGAGATGTCATGGGAATGGAGCAAACACCATGGATTCCCTCCCAGGAGGACAGAATTGTTAGATTAGATTAGATTTTAGGAAGAAATTCTTCCCTGTGAGGGTGATGAGGCTCTGGCACAAGTGGCCCAGAGCAGCTATGGCTGCTCCATCCCTGGAAGCATCCAAGGCCAGGCTGGACAGGGTTTGGAGCACCCTGGGACAGTGAAAGCTGCCCCTGCCCATGGAGGGGGTGGAACTGGATGAGTTTTAATACTCCTTTCCAACCCAACCTGTTCTGTGGTGAAAGGAGCCATGGTTGCACACAGGAGCAGCTCCCTGTCCCGAGGGCACCCCAAGATGCTCAGTCTCACTCAATTATCACTGCTCAGCCTTTTTGTTTGTAGGGTGAAGGTTGGGTGGGGGAGGCTGTGGGCAGGGCAGCCATCCTGCCTTTGGGGTGCAATTCCATAAACCACCATGAGCAGCCCAACCCCATCAACTCCACAGACTTCAGGTTTGTGCTCCCTGTGCCACAAAGCCTCCTCTGTTACCTTCTCTCGCTTTGGCCTGTTCCTTCAATACAGAGAGATCTGCACATTTGCTGAGGAAGAAGTTCTTCAGCCTGCTCTCCTGGTGGAGGGCACACTTCCTCTCCAGCAGCCTGATGTTGTACTGGATGGTTTCCCTGTAGCGCACGTCCCGGATGTCCGAGATCCGCCCCAGATCCTCCATCCTGCACGGAGAGCAGCTCTCATACCTCGTGTGTGCACAAGGCTCTGTGTTCCTGGCCACTCCAAGGAGGGCCAGACCTGCCAAAGCCCCTGTGGTGCTGTGCCCGTTCCCAGATCTCATCTGGATGGAGTGGAGTCAGTCCAGAGGGAATTCACAGCCACTAACACAGATTTTGGTGGGGTTTTGTACTAAGGCATAGTACCCAGCTCAGGTAGAACTCAGAAAAAATAGACTTCTCCATGGGACAGTCCATCCCATCCAAAGAAACATCTGGGACAGATGGAATGAAACACCCTGGAGGCACCAGTCTCCCCACAGTGACCAGGCACCCAACCCTCAGCACCCAGACCTAGATGGGAGTGGTCAATCCTCCCTCTGAAGCCTCAGTTGGTCTCTGTGTTTGAACACTCATCGCTGGCACCACCCAGCAGCCCCAAGTTCTGCCCAGAGGGCTGACAAGGCCCCGTACCACTGGTCGTAGTCCTCTGTGGCTTGCTCGATAGCAGCGTTCAGCAGCTTGTTCTGCTGGACCAGGCTTCTCTCCAGCTTCCAGTAGAGGTTGTCAAAACTGGCTTTCTGGATCTGCAGGCTGGCAGTCTCCTCTCTGAGCTTGTTGTTCCTGGCCACGACGGCGTTGTAACACACAGTGACCTGGGGAGAGCAAAGCAAAAGCTCTGGAGCTGGTGAGGGACTGGGGGGGTTCAGGTTGATGCTTAAAGACCTTGACCAAGGTCAAACACTGTGATGGGGTCTTATGTTGAGGGAAGAGACGAGGATTTGACTCTGTTTCAGAAGGCTTGATTTATTATTTTATAATATATATTACATTAAAACTATACTGAAAGAATAGAGGAAAAGGTTTCATCAGAAGGCTAGCTAAGAATAGAAAAGAATGAATAACAAAGGTTTGTGGCTTGGACAGAGAGCAGAGCTAGCTGGACTGTGATTGGCCATTAATTAGAAACAACCACATGAGACCAATCACAGATGCACCTGTTGCATTCCACAGCAGCAGATAATCATTGTTTGCATTTTGTTCCTGAGGCCTCTCAGCTTCTCAGGAGGAAAAAATCCTAAGGAAAAGATTTTTCATGAAAGTTGTATGTGACAAAACACAGCCCAAGAGATTTGAAGCTGGCCCTGCACTGTCCTCCTCCCCAGGAGAGGAAAGGCAACAGAAGACCAGGTTGGTCACAACAGAGAGCTGGAGCTGGTTTTGTCCAGGGCAAGGTGGCTCCAGGCAGCCCAGTTTGATCACAAAGCAGGTGCAGACCCTCAGGCCTCTTGGCACAGCACAAGTGCTGCATTTGGGTCACCAAGCCTGAAGGAGCCTTTGAGATATTTTGAAATATTCTGGGAATGATCAGGCCAGGGGAACAAGGCAGGTGCTTCATGCAGCTTGTGGCAACCAAACACGTTTGCACCATGTGCTTTGTCCTGACCAGAAAGGTACCAGGTCCCTGTGTGACCCCACAAATGTTCTCCAAAAGTCTCCAAAATGTTTCCTTACATGACGCAGACGCATCTCCAGTAACTCAATCGTCTTATGCAGCTGTTTGCGGGTCTTTGCTCCCAACTCCTTCCAGTTTGATTCTCTTTGACTCGCTATCTTTTTTTCCAGCTCTAGAACCTGCACACACACACAGAGGAAAAAAAAAAAACACCAGGATGTATAATCTCCACCCCTGCATTCTGGACTTTTTTCAGGACACAGAGCCAAAGAAAATCCCCTCTGTTGATCTGAACTATAGCAACCCTGTCATTAATGAGCTCTCAGTTATAGGAGCAGCTTTAATCCCAGAGGATCCCACCCTGCACATGCAGAAACATGAACTGTAACTGGGAATGGGTTTTTTTTGTGCCATGAAGGAAGTGCAGCTGGTTTTGGAGGGACTCCAGCAGGTGCTGAACATGGCACAGCAGCGCTTTGCAAGGTGGAAGAGGCAATGAGGATGGAGCTGTGGTAGAGATTTTGTGCTGGCCAGGCGGGGATCTGTGCAGCCCTCCCTGGGAAGAGTGGAGGAAAACTTCTGCCAGAAGTGGGGAGATTCCAGAGGAAATAAATCCATGGAAGAGTGAAGCAGCTGGAGAATGGTGAAGCAGGGGGCAGGTGGGGGAGGGATGACTCAGGCAAGTCAGAGTTATCATCATCCCTGACAGAAAGCTAACCCTGCTGGGAAAGCTCTGCAGCACCTCCAGCAATGGCAAACTATCCCAGCATGTTCCCTGGAGTCCAGCCTGGGCAGCTGGCTCTGAGAGCAATGCTGAAGGGAACTGTCTCTTCCATAGCCCACGTTTCCCTTGGCTTCCCACTCCCCTCCTGCCCAAATCCAACCAGATCCTCAGGAGAAGGGATGGGGCATCCCTCAGATGCTGCTGTTCCTGTATTTGGCACACCTCAGTCAGCACTGTTCCAGTTTTACCTCTTTTTCAGGAGAATAAAAAGAAGTGAAGGGAGAGGGATTTTTGTGGCCCTGGGCTGGTGTGTGCCACCACCCAGGGGTGCAGGGACCAGTGGGACAAGGCTGAGAGTCCAACCTCACTTTTCCAGTCAGTGCTGCTGACTTGAACGGGAGCCTGGCTCTATTTGTCACTGTCATGTGTCACTTGCCAGGAGGAATATTCCAAGGGCTGAATTAAATGTGATTTACACTGAGGAGTTTCAGCCACAGGCCTCACTCTGTGACTCTGGCAGGGAACAGTCCAGGTGCTCTCACCTGCTTGGCCAGGTCAGCCAACTGGGCTTTTCTCTCTTTGATCAGGGCATCATTCTGCATGCTGGTCTGCAAGAGGTTTCGGACCTTCATGCGATTCCTGTTTACAAACACCATGCTGCTCGGTGAATAGAGCTGCTTCAGCGTTGCTGTCACATGTCCGTGCTCTTGCCTCAGATCAGCTATTTCTTTTCTGCAAAAATGGAACAACAAATGACATTTAGCACATCCCATCTGCCAGGGCAGCTCCTCCCCATCTCTGCTCTGTGGTCCCCAGATCTCTTTATCTAAAAGGGATAGCAATCCCTTGATTGCTGTCAAAAAAGAGGGAGCAATGTTTTATATGGGCAGATGAATAGGACAAGAGGGAGTGGCTTTAAGCTAAAAGAAGAGAGATTGAGATCAGATGTTGGGAAGAAATTCCTTGCTCAGAGAGTGGTGAGGCCCTGGCACAGGGTGCTCATAGAAGCTGTGGCTGCCCAATCCCTGGAAGTGTCCAAGGCCAGGCTGGACAGGGCTTGGAGCAGCCTGGGATAGTGGAGGGTATCCCTGCCTGTGGGAGTCTATAAATCAGTGATTTTGGCATGGAGGAACTCCCCAAGCTCCAGGCAGTCAGGCAGAGCTGTACTCACTCCTGAGCCTGCATCTGCCGCCAGATTTCGGCGTCGAAGAATTTCCTCTTGTAGGCTTCATGATGGAAATGAGTCTGCAGGTGCCTGATCTCCACTTTAGCCCTGTATTCCTTCTCCTTTTCGGTGATATCCAGGTCTGCTGAGGCTTCTCTCCTCTGCCACAGACAAGGGAGGGTTTGGTCAGTGGAGCAAACTCAGCCAGCAATGGCAGCAGCAGCTCCAGCTCTTCCCTGGCACCTGAGATCTCCATCACCACCCAAAACACACAGAGCTGGCTGAGCTGCAGCCAGCACCACAATTCCAGGACAGGGAGAGACCTCCACCAGTGCAGAGGACAGGTGATGGCAGGTTGTCACCTCTTTTATCACCCAACACAACAGCGAGGACCACGTGGGTGAGAACCAGAGCCACTGGTGCTGGGGACATGGATGAGCCCAGGAGTGGAGCAGGAATGGAGCAGGAGTGCTCCTGTCCTTGACCATCAGAAGGTGAATTCTAGCTGAGAAACTGCCCAGCAGGCAGGCACTGAAGGCAGTCAGACCCACCACTGCCTGTGTCCTCAGCTGACTCCAATCCCCCAACTCTGCCTCTCCCAATACCCAAATCTCAGTCCAGGGCAACATTCCTGGCACAGGAGAAGCAGCCCCAGTGCTCCCCAGCACCTTGCTGGCAGGAGCAAACCTGCTGGATGCTTATTGCCATGGATAAGATCCCCACAGCAGATCCTCCACACTCCCTGTGAAGTCCAGCTTTAATTTGTCCTTCTATTTTACCTTCATTTTTCCGGTCTAACTCTGCTGGTTGCTCCGTAGACGCCTCAGGAAGGGAACAAGTGAAACTCTGCAGGCACAGGAGTGCTTTCCAAGGGAAGAAATGAAACAGGAGTAATGGGGTGGCTGCGTCCTCCTGCCCATCCCTCAGCACCCGCTCGCGTGTTTGGCACATGAGGAAACCATCACAGATGGCTGCAAGAGGAGTAAAAGGAGAGCATTTCTGGTGATGTCATCGTGAAATTATCGAGTTTTATAAGTAGGGGAAGAACAGATGGTTTGAGCTATTCCATCCCATTCAGTACCTGGGTTTCCATAGAAATTCCAGCGAGGCCAGTTCCCCCCCCACCCTGTGCCTGTAGAACACCTGGATTGAGCCCCTCTGCCCCACTGATGCCAGGAGGGCACTGGATGGACCCTGCAGCCCTTACCCCCAGAGCTGGTCCCCAGCAACCACACTGACTGCAGTCCCTTGGGTGTCCCTGCGTCCCCTGACACTGCTCAGCCCCACACAGGGCACCTTCCTCTCCAGCCAGGAGACAGAACCACAGTGGCACTCAGGTCTTCCCAAAGATCCACCCCTATTTCCAGCAAGAAGCTCAGCAGAGGGAAGAACCTAGAAGAGAACTGGTCCCAGTCCTGTCCTGTACTGGCCCACGTTCCACGGTTGCCACGGCAGCATCACCACAGTGGAGTGAGGGTGGTGCCCCATGAAGGAGCAAGGAGCTGCTGGGACCCCAAATTACACGGACCAAAGGGGTTTCTGTGCCCCAAAACCAGCCCTGAAGCTCCAGCATATCCCTGGCTGTGTGTCCACAGCAAGGAGAAACCTTCATTTGGAACTGGGCCATAACCTGGCATTCAAAGCCTTTTGCTCCAACAGGAGCAGCCAGGGGTTCACCATCCCCAGCAGTGCTTCAGGATTAGGGCTGCTGCTCACTCCACACCCAGATTTTTGGCCCTCCAGCCTGGTTTTTATCTGTTTTATTCACAATTAGACCATCACCACCTCACTGCCACCACTGCTGGCACCCAGAGCAGCAACGGTTGGCGCTGCCAAACTGGGGAAGGGCCCTGGGGACAGGGACATGTTGGGTGGCTGATTAGGGGACAGATTGAGGCTTCATGCCCACTTTTCTCCTCCCCATGCAGGGAAGCACAAGGGAGCTGTGGACTGAGTCACAAGGGCCACGATAATCCTTTCCCTGTGAGCCGGAGCGCGTGGCCAGCTCCTTCCCAGGGGCTGCACAAACGCTGGGATCCCTGGAGGGCAGCAGCACAGGGGCTGTGTTTTGTAGCCCTGGAGATGCTTACTCAGCTGTGGGCTGAAGGGGAGAGGAGCAGAGCTCACTCTGAAGGTGAGCAGAGGGCAGCCTGTCCCAGTTTGCAGGGCTGCAGCGAGTTCAAAGCCGCGAGCAAAATCCCCGAGCAGAGCATCGGCACCTCCCCGTTATCCCGGAGACTTTGATGAGCTAACAGCCCAGGCACCAAGTCCCAGCCTAATTCCCAGCCAGACAGGCTCTGAGGAGGCATTTAATTGGAAATCACATTCATGGCAGCAAGCAGAATGTGGTGTTTGATAAGAAAAATCACAGCTGAGGGCAGAGCCCTGCTGGGGAGGCACCGGAGCCTGAGGATCCCGCCAGGGCTAGGGGAAGCTCCCAGAGCTTTTCCTGCTGTTCCTGCATGAGCAACAGCTCTGTGGGATAATAACAGAACCTCTCCAGGGTGAGCCTGTCACAAAGTCCCTGTGGCTCTGGCTGTGTTATGGGGCACATCCCTTCTTTTCACCCTCAGCAGAAACAGGGCCAAACCCCCAGTTCACAATAAAAGGGGAGGTGCAGGGGTGAACATTATTTTTACAGAAACAATGCCGCTCAAAATCTTGTTTTTCCTTGGCTTGGACTAGTCCAGCCTCAAAAGACAGCCCATATTGTTTGTCCTTTTTGTGCTCTTCTCCATGGACCAATTCTCAATTGTTTAGCAATGAGCAAGTCAGTAAATTAAACTATTCAGGAGGGCTCTGATTTGGTAGAGTCTGTGTCTGTCTCCCTCACTGCAGAAACACTGATTTGACTAAAGAGGGCTTTTTTTCACCCAAACAATGCCTGACTGTCACACTTGCTCTCAGTGAGGGTGACTTCATTGTCTGGATGGACCTTTCAGCAGAAGAATATTTGGAGCAGGATGAGATTGTCCATAACATTTGAATCCTAAAAGTCTCCAGCTTCTGGGAGAAACAGAAGAAAAGTGACTTTTTATGCAATTTTCAACTTAACCAATCTTGCCTGATTTAACAAGTACATTTAGCACTGATTGACATGCAGAATTATTCCTTCAGCAGCAGATCTGGGGGCTAATTAAAACTCATTGTACTATATTAAGGGATGAATTCTGATCTGTGCAAGCAGCGTAAACTTTCCCTGATTCCAGCAATGATTTTCCTGTTTCTCTGGGTCCAGCTCACAGGGGCTGCAGGTGATGGTCAGAGTTGGGCTGGCTCTGAGCTGAGCTCCCACCCGGGACCATCCCATCGACGTCAAACCAAAAATCTCTGGGGTGAGCTGCAGAATTGGGCCCATATTTTCATGCAAATGCAATACATTCATGTTACTTAATGCCTATTTATAATAAATCCAGAACTTAATTCTACTTAACCCGTCTTTAGTGTTTGACACATGAAATCGGTGACTCACAGGGCTATATATGGAACTGTCAAAATTTTCTTTTTTCCCCTCCTCTAAAAGCCTGGATTAAATCATAATCAAACTCCCATCAGCTCCAGCAGCAGTGCTGGGATAAGCAGGAAGATGCTGACAACTGCTAAGGCAGCTGCTGGTGGGGAAAGATCTTCTCAGGCAACAAAATGATGGCTGAAACCTCAGAGGAAAGGTTCTGAATTCAGACACGTGCTACATCCATTTGCTGAAATTGTAAAACCAGAATGGCTTTGGTTGGAAGGAATCTTAAAACTCATCCAGTTCCACCTCCTGCCTTGGGCAGGGACATTTTCCATTATCCCAGGCTGCTCCAAGCCCCATCCAACCCAGCCTTGGACACTTCCAGGGATCCAGGGGCAGTCACAGCTTCTCTGGGCACGCTGTGGCAATGCTTCAATGCTCTCTGAGTAAAGAATTTCTTCTTAGCCTCCAATCTAATCTCTTCTCTTTTAGTTTAATATCATTCCCCCTTGTCCTATCAGCATCTTGCCCATGTAAATGTTGTCCTGTGGTCCTGCAGGTATCTCTTGGCCTCCTGGTGTCACCTTACCAAGACCTGGCTTGTGAATGGTGTCCCATGAGCACATTCTCTAGCCAGGTTTTTGTTTCTTTCCTCTGATGAATGTTATCTTCACATGTGCATGAATCAGATTTCAGCAGGCAAGACCAGTTTTGGCCCAAAACCATCACAAACACATGGAGAGTTGTAGACCTGCAGCATTTTGCAACTGGCTTGAGTTTTGCTCTGTGTTTTTTACAGAAAAGGTTTAATTTCAGATATACACCAGGTACTCCTCAGGTGCTGAGCTGTTCTCTCCCTGCACAATATCAGCTCTTCCATTCTGTCCTTCCTGGGTGGGGTAGAGACATCTCTGTGCAGGGAAATGACTGAAAGGTTTTCAGGGTAATTGGTAGAGGCAGGGGGAGAGGAGGCTGTTGGCTGCCTCCTCGATTACAGCTGTAATTTCTCCACACTCCAAGAGGAAATTGTCATCGTAATTTCCTGCAGATGGTTTTCTCCTGAATTGCTGACACCGAGTGAAATGTGATTTCCAGCAGTGAACTGTCTCCTCCGTGCCTTTGCTGAGTATTATTTCAAGCCTTGCTTTAGGAGCAAGTTCCCCAAGCTTTGGCTTTAGGAAAGTGAAACTCTCCCACAGCAGGCTGCACCACTCCAGCAGAGCCAAATAACGTGGGTTTCATCTGTCTGTGCTGACTCCCAGGCACCTTTGGCTGCAGCAGGTACACTGAATTACTGCTCAAAGGCTGCTTCCACAGGGGTGGAATGCAGGAGGGAAATAGTGGAGGATGTGCTGAAAGCACAAAAAGAAGAAACCTGCAAAAATTTCACTGGCCTGAGGTCAAACCTGGCACTTAACAAGCACACAGACTGCAGGATGATTTTAGCTGAAGCACAGAGCAGGGGACTCAAGGACAGAGCCATCTCAGTGCCACTGTCTGACCTGGACAGGGCTCCCTGTGCCACCGTGGGTGCTGAGCCCTGGCACAGGCTGCCCACAGAAGCTGTGGCTGCCCCATCCCTGCAAGTGTCCCAGGCTGGACAGGGCTTGGAGCCACCTGGGACAGTGGCAGGTGTCCCTGCCCATGGCAGGGGGTGCAACAGGAGGAGATTTAAGGTCCCTTCCAACCCAAATAATTCTGGGATTCTGCGACTTTTTTTTTTTTTTTTTTCTGAATTAGGCAAAACTGCACAAATTTACTCTCAGTGGTGCTGCTGATCCCTCACACCCAAGCAGGAGGCAGGGGTTTGCTCCAGGCTGGAATTTGCAGTGCACCAGCTCTCAAAGCCTGGCAGAGCTCTTGGCCAGGGCTGAGCTGAGCTAATAAATCCCCATTGTGACCTCCCACACCCCATTCTTCCCCAGGGAAGTCTGTGGGCAAATCCAGACTTTGTGCTGGAAACCCTCCACGCCAAACTGGGCTGGGGAGCACTGGGAGGGTGGTCTGTGGCTGAGGAAGCAGCACAGAGAG